GTTCCAGTTGGCCTATAGTATTGTTCAAATACTCTGTCGCCTTATTCATATTTTGTTTGGTTGTTTTATCTGTTATTGAAAGTTGGGTATTGAAGTCTCCTACTCTCTATTTCACCTTACAATCCTATCAAAGTGTGCTTCATATATTTAGGACCTCTGATGTTTGGCACATAAATATTTATAATTGTTATATCTTCTTGGTGAATTGGCATTCTTGTCATTATATAATACCCTTGTTTTGTATAACAATTTTTTTTTTTTTTTTTTGAGATGGAGTCTCGCTCTGTTGCCAGGCTGGAGTGCAGTGTTGCGATCTTGGCTCTCTGTAACCTCCATCTCCCGGGTTCAAGCGATTCCCCTGCCTCAGCCTCCTGAGTAGCTAGGGCTATAGGTGTGCACTAGTTGTTTTTTTTTTTTTTTGAGATGGAGTTTTTGCTCTTGTTGCCCAGGATGGAGGACATGATCTCAGCTCACTGGAAGCTCCACTTCCTGGGTTCAAGAGATTCTCCTACCTCAGCTTCCTAAGTAGCTGGGACTATTGGTGCCCACCTCCACACCTAGCCAGTTTTCTGTATTTTGTAGAGACAGGGTTTCACCATGTTGGTCAGGCTGATCTTGAACTCCTGACCTTGTGATCTGCCTACCACGGCCTCCCAAAGTGCTGGGATTACAGGTATGAGCCACTGCGCCCCACCACAATTTTTCACCTGAAGTCTTTGTCTGTTATCAGTATAATCACCTCTGTTCTCTTTGGTTTACTATTTGCATGGAATATCTTTTCTCATTCTTTCAATTCCAGCCTATGTGTGTCCTTAGATCCAAAGTGAGTCTCCTGTAGACAGCATAGTTGTATCCTGTTTCTAAATTCATCCATGCAATCTATTTTTTTTTGATCGGAGGTTTAAGTCTATTTATACTATTATTGATAGAGAGGACTTACTGTGACCATTTTGCCGTTTTCCGGCGTGTCTTGTGGCATTTTTGTCTCTTCTTTCTTACTGCCTCCTCTGTTACACTGATTTTTTTTCCCAGTAACATTTAATTCCCTTCTAATATCCTTTTGTGTATATTCTGTATTTTCTGTGTGGTTACCATTGCAATTGCACGTACATTTTTAATGTTACAGCGTTCTACTTTAAACTGATAACTTCTATTGCATATGAAAAGTCTGCTTTAGAAATCAAAATCCACCCCCTTTGTTATTGTTGTCACAAACTGTCTTTTATATGTGTATACCCCTCAGCATAGACTCGTAGTTTTTATGGCTTTGCCATGTAAATTCTAGGCATTGACATTCAGTAATGTGCTTCACTGTATGTCCACGCGCTTGCCTTCACTGGAGCACTTTGTATTTTTTATGGCTTCATGTGTCTGTCTAGTGTCCTTTCATTTCAACTTGAGGGACTCCCATTAGGACTTCTTGTATAGCAGTCCTAGTGATAATGGACTCTCTCAGCTTTGTTTTTTTTTTTTTTTTTTTTGTGAGGCAAAGTCTCGCTCTCGTTACCCAGGCTGGAGTGAAGTGGCGCGATCTTGGCTCACTGCAACCTCCGCCTCTGAGGCTCAAGCGATTCTCCTGCCTCAGCCTCCCAAGTAGCTGGGATTATAGGCACACACCACCACGCCTGGCTATAGTTTGTAATTTTAGTAGAGACAGGGTTTTACCATGTTGACCAGGTTGGTCTTGAACTCCTGACCTCAGGTGATACGACCACCTTGGCCTCCTAAAGTGCTGGGATTACAGGCATGAGCCACCACACCTGGCCCCATTTATCTGGCAGTCTTAAAGTTTCTCCATTTTTTTTTTAATTTTGAGAGAGTCTCACTCTCGCCCAGGCTGGAGTGCAGTGGCGCGTGATCTTGGCTCACTACAACCTCTACGTGCTGGGTTCAGGCACTTCTCGTGCCTTTGCCTCCCAAGTAGCTGGGACTACAGGTTTGTACTCTTACACCTGACTAATGTTTTTTATTTTCAGTAGATCAAGGTTTTGCCGTGTTGGCCAGGCTGGTCTCAAACTCCTGGGCTCTAGTGATCCACTTGCCTCAGCCTCCCATGGTGCTGGGATTACAGGCGTGAGCCACTGAGCCTGGCCCCAAATTTCTCATTTTTGTTGTTGTTGTTGAGACAGAGTTTTGCTCTTGTCATTGAGGCTAGAGTGCAATGATGTGATCTAGGCTCACTGCAACCTCTGCCTCATGGGTTCAAGTGATTCTCTAGCCTCAGCTTCCCAAGTAGCTGGGATTACAGGTGTCAGCCACCATGCCCAGCTGATTTTTGTATTTTGAGTAGAGACAGGGTTTCCGCCATATTAGGGTGATCTCGAACTCCCGACCTCAAGTGATCCACCTGCCTCAGCCTCCCAAAGTGTTGGGATTACAGGTGTGAGCCACCGTTTCATAAGTGAGCACAGCTGTTCACCTCCCAGACAGGGAAACAGAGCTTTATCAGCAGCCCAGAAGCCCTGTTTTGCCCTCTTCCAGTCACTGCCTTGCTTTCCTTTTTTTCAAATGTCTTCTATTCTGACTTCCATAGATTACTTTTTCCTGTTTTTGAACATTTTTTTGTTTTGTTTTGAGACAGCGTTTCCCTCTTTTGCCCAGGCTGGAGTGCAACGCCATGATCTTGGCGTACCACAACCTCCACCTCCCAGTTTCAAGTGATTCTCCTGCTTCAGCCTCCTGAGTAGCTAGGATTACAGGCATGCGCCACCACGCTGGCTAATTTTGTATTTTTAGTAGAGGTGGGGTTTCTCCATGTTGGTCGGGCTGGTCTTGAACTCCTGACCTCAGATGATCTGCCTGCCTCAGCCTCCCAAAGTGCTGGGATTACAGGTGTGAGCCACTGGGCCTGGCCTGAACTTTATATATGTAAAGTTCACAAGTGGAATTGTACAGTTTATACTTTAAGAAAATTGACTGAAGTATTAAAAAGTACATATAGACATGTAGACAAGTGCACATATCATCCATGTTTAGCTTGCTGAATTTTCAAACCAAACACATCCACATAGTCAATATCTGAATCAAGGTAAGACATTACCAGTACCCAGAAGGCCCAGATGTGTTCCTTGCAGTCACTGCCATCCTCTGCCCTCCTTCCCACTACTGAGCAAACCACTTTTAACAACACAGATTGGCCAGGTGCGGTGGCTCACGTCTGTAATTCCACCACTTTGGGAGGCCAAGGAGGAAGGATTGCTTGAACCCAGGAGTTAGAGACCAGCCAGGACAACATAGTGGGACCCTGTCTCTACAAAATAAAAATTAGCTGGGCATGGTGGTGCATGCCTATAGTCCCAGCTCCTTGGGAAGCTGCTCTGAGAGAATTGCTTGTACCCAGGAGGCCCAGGCTGCAGTGAGCTGTGATCACACCACTGTGCTCTAGCCTGGGCTGCAGAGCGAGACCCTGTCTCAAAAACAAAAACCACAGATTTGTTTTTATTGTTATGTGCTTTTTTGGAATCCTATAGTTTGAACTCTGTATCTTACTTGAATTCAGCATGGTTGTGAGATTTCATTGCTGTGTCATTTTATTTTGCATGAGTATGTGGCAGTTTAGTTTTCTAGTCAGAGATGTTTTGTTTTTGGTAGCTTTTGGCTGTTGGGAATAGAGCTGCTGTTAGCATTCTTTTGGTGAACATGTGCGCTCACTTTTGTTGGGAATTCTTGGGTGAGAAGATAGCTGCATGGTTTGTTCCAGTGGGTTCCTCCCGTTTTCCTGCGTGGCTGTATTGATTCACACTCCCACACGGCATTGTGTCAGTTCCAATTGTTCCAAATCTTTGACACCATTTGGTATTGCCAGTCTGTCATATTTTTCAAAGCTCATTTCTTCTTTTGAGACACATCTCGCTTTGTCACCCAGGCTGGAGTGCAGTGGTGCAAGCTTGGCTCACTGCAAACTCTGCCTCCTGGGTTTAAGTGATTCTCCTGCCTCAGTCTCCTGAGTAGCTGGGATGATAGGTGTGTGCTACCATGCCCAGGTTTTTTTTTTTTTTTTTTTTTTTTTTTTACTTTTAGTAGAGATGGGCTGTTACTCAGGAGCTCCTCTGATTTTTTTTTGTATTTTTGCCATGTTGGCCAGGCTGGTCCTGAACTCCTACACTCAACTGATCTGCCTCGGCTTCCCAAGTGCTGGGATTACAGTCATGAGCCACCGCGCCCAGCCAAAGCTCATTTCTTTTTAAACGACTCATTTATCTTTCAAATTAAATGTGAAATCTTCACTATAATTTTCATTTTCAGGTTTTCAAAATGTAATCTTAATCCCTCATATTAATTATTCCATCAACATCACTTTTATGAATTGAGAGATGTTTTCCCAAGTAAAAATGTTCTGGATTTCTGTAGGAATCACAGTGTGGAAATGAAATCATTTGCCCTGTGCCATACAGCACAGGATTGTCCCTTGTCACATTGATGAGATGCAGGAAGAGCCCCCCACTGGAAGATTCCTGGCAGCCTTGGCTGGCAGCTGACGTCTGTGTCTCCCAAGTGTTCTTCCCTCTGTCGTTTGAAGGGTACTTTATTATGCCACAGCATGCCCAAGGCTCCCTCAGTGATGAGTGCGATTTCCAGGGGTAGTCCTTGAAGAAAGCATTGAGAAGGTGCAGACCTCCACAGAGACTGTGTGGACTCATTTCTCTGGAAAAAGGACAAGGAGGCAGCAAAGACAGACCCAGCTGCCAAGGAAAGATTCAAATTAGATTTTACAGAACATTTGCCCTAGGTCAAAACCAAAGAAGGATTCCTTTTTCTCAAAACTTCACTTGTTGAAGGGTGTAAAGTAAGACATGTTGTTTTACTTCTCTTTCTCATAGAATTACAAACATTACTTGGAATTTGTAGATCCTTTGCCTCAGGCTCAGCACGACCTAGAAGGCATGATGGATGGAGGGTATGAAATGAGATTTTCCAGGAATCTAAATCTGTGAGTCAGGGAGAAGAAGCGGAGGGCAAGAGCTAGTTGAAGGAATTTTTTTCTCCTTTTTCCTTATTAGGTGCCTGTTGAAGTGGATTTAACTAAAGCGAAGAGACAAGATTTTGAACCATCTGTGGAAGAGGCAAGATACAACAGTTGCCGACCGAACATGGCCCTGGGACACCCACAGCTACAGGAGGTGACCTCCCCCTCTAGACCAAGCCACGATGTGATACAGGGGAATAAGGACTGCAGCTCCCGGTATGTGTCCTCAGTCCCCTCCTTTTCCTTTCTGGCCATTTCCTCTGCTACTGGGGCTGCCTCCACTTCCTCCTTCAGAGCCAGCCAGCTGCGTGCGTGTGTGCGTGCGCCCAGGAGCCGTGGCTGTTACTTAGGAGCTCCTCCTCATCCTGTTGCTCCCCTGATGCAGACGCCTGACCTCATCCACTGTGGAGAGCGAGGCCTCATACCAGCGGAAGCTCCGGCAAAAGCAGCTGCAGCAGCAGTTCCGGGAGCAGATGGAGAAGCAGCAAGTCCACGTCTCCACCCCGCCAGTTGAGAAGAGTGAGGGTGTGTGTGGATGGGAGCAGAGCCCTGGGAGGTGTCAGCAGGAGGAAGTCTAGCGACAGGGTCACCTGATTCTCTGCCAGTAACCCTGTAGCTGGCTCTAAACCAGGCCTCGCTGGGACTTCTCTCAAGCTATGTGCAGGAGAGATGAGCCCAGGAAATTTGGATATTTAAATCTGCTATACATTTTCCCATTTCTAGAGACAATGATCTTTTTTTTCCCCTATGGAAGTAAATGGGCCTTGATATAATCTTCTAGAATTAGAAATTTCAGAGTAAATAACTTTTTTTTTGCTGCAAATACTTAGTCCATCTGTACATTAGAAAGCCGTGGCCGGTGCAGTGGCTCACGCCTGTAATCCCAGCACTTTCGGAGGCCAAGGTGGGTGGATCACTTGATGTCATCATGATGAAGCCCTATTTCTACCAAGAATGCATAAAAATTAGCCAGGCGTGGTGGCGCATGCCTGTGGTACTCCCTACTTGGGAGGCTTAGGCAGGAAGGCAGAGGTTGCAGTGAGCTGAGATCGTGCCATTGCACTGCAGCCTGGGCAAGAGTGAGACCCCGTCTCAAAAAAAAAACTCCTTGTATTTCTGAGATGTCTTTGAATATAAGGCCAAATTGAGATTAAGGATAACGGGAGCTTTTGGCAGGTATTTATCAACTTTCGTTTATTTCAGAGTCCAGATTCAGTGGGAATCCCCACTGCCCCGTCCAGGGGTAGGTAGTCCTTACTCAGAGAGTGCAAACAAAGCCTGTCCCAGATCCGTTGAGCTTTTGCCCAGTTTTTCCATACCAATTGTGAAGAAGATTCATAGAAGACTTGCTTTGTGGTTCATATGCCCCTCAGCACTAACAGGCTGAAAGTAATATAAAAGCCAAAACAGGGGCCGGGCGTGGTGGCTCACGCCTGTAATCCCAGTACTTTGGGAGGCCGAGGCGGGTGGATCATGAGGTCAAGAGATCGAGACCATCCTGGTCAACATGGTGAAACCCCGTCTCTACTAAAAATTAGCTGGGCATGGTGGCGCGTGCCTATAATCCCAGCTACTCAGGAGGCTGAGGCAGGAGAATTGCCTGAACCCAGGAGGCGGAGGTTGCAGTGAGCCAAGATTGCGCCATTGCACTTCAGCCTGGGTAACAAGAGCGAAACTCCGTCTCAAAAAAAAAAAAAAACAGAACCACTTCCTGTCTGTGGCTATCCTTACTGATGAGTTAGTTATGCTAGATTTTTAGCTTCTCACTGCAGAAGCTCCCCTGTGAAGCGTGGAGGAAGTGGCCCTCCAGGCCTTTCCTACTCTTTGGCAGACAACCAGAGCCATTGTTATTTTAGTCCATTTCACACATCCGATTTTGGCTTAAGATTTTGATTGTTGGTTTGCTTTCAGAGAGGGGGTCTTGCTCTGTCACCCAGGCTGGAGAGTAGTGGCATGATTAGGGCTCACTGCAGCTTTGACCTTCCTGGACTCAAGTGATCCTCCTGCCTCAGCCCCCTGAGTAGCTGGGACTACAAGTGCCTGCTACCACTCCTGGCTAATTTTTTACTTTTTGTAGAGATGGGGTCTTGAACTTCTGGGTTAGAGCAATCTTCCCTCCTCGGCCTCCCAAAGTGTGGGGGTTTACAGGTATGAGCCGCTGCGCCTGGCCAGGTTTTAGTTTAAGATTTTGTTTGAGCAAGGGTTACGGCTGTAGCAAGTAAGCCAGACGCTGGACTGGATGGCCTCTAAGAACCCTTCTACTTTTTGCTGTGAAAGGAGAAAGAAACTCGTTTTCCCACTTTGGTGAGAAGAATTCAAAACACAGACAGATCCTTAGGTGGGACTGGGACTCGGGAATCTGAAGTTCTTAGACTGGCTGAAGCAGCGTAGCCTTACACAGTGTGGCCCTTCTGAGTGTTCCCTCTAAGAAGAGGACTGTGGACTTACGCTCTCTAATCCCATGTAGGATGTGATTATGACTTGTCCTTTCTTTCCTTTGTGAACCGTAGCAGTGCCTCCGGCCCCTCCGCTGACACACAGCACTCCTGTAACTGCAGTCTCAGAACCGCTCCCGGAGCAAGACTTCCTCGCAGGAATGACTCAAGAATTAATCAGTAAATACCTTGAAATGCTTGTAAGCTACTGTACTGTATGTTTTTAGTAGCCACAGAATACCTTTCAGGCAGCATAAAAGTCCTCATTTTCGTCTGTTTTTGTTGGGGGTGGGGGGATTCTGGCAGATGGCATATGTCCAGTTCCTCTTCGAATCTGAACTGAAGGGAAGGTTCTTCAGTGTACTTTTAGGGGTAGGGGAGAGAAATTCCAAAAACTTTCAGAAAGCACTCGATGTGGAATTTCTGATGGCCAGTTTTTCCAGTGCTTTCTGTGAGAATACTTCATTATTTGCTGATGATATGCTTACTTTCCTTTTCTCTGTAGAGACTCTTGAAGACAACTCTTTAAAGTGGGCTGTGACTACAGATGCAGGGGATGGTGTGGTCAAGCCCTTGTCTAGAGCAGACCTGCCCCAGACCTCTGACACACTGGCCTTGAACAACCAGATGGTGACCCAGGACAGGACTCCATACAGCCTTTGCCACCAGAAACCACAAGCGAAATCTGGACCTTGGGACCTCCAGACTTATAGTGCTGACCAACACGTAACAGGTAGCAGAGAGGTGTTTAGGAACAAAAATGAAAGGGGAACCTAGCTTTAATTCTGGGAATTTTTGAGGAAGGATGACATTTCATTTCGATAGAATAATTCCCAGGGAATAGCACTGCAAGTGGAAGATAACCGGGGGCCTGGTTTGAGAGCCAGAACTTTTCCTTTGGGCTCCTGAATTCAGGTGCAGCCCTTTTCAGCGCTTGATAATAGCAGGAAGCGGAAGTGCCACTGCATGGACAGCTTGCCCTCCTAGCAGCGGGGCTGTCATGAGCATGATGCCACTTGGTCTAGGAAATGATCTGCCTTCCTCCTAACAGAAATTCTTATTCTTGGGCTTAGTCTAAATTAGCATCATTAACTAATAAAATCCAGAAATCATTAGCTGTCAGTTTATTTTAACCATGACAGTTACATTTAAGCCATTTTATCTTCCATAGGAAACTGGGAATCTCATAGGAAGAGCCAGGACATGAAGAAAAGGAAGTATGATCCATCTTAACTGAGGCTCAGGCCACACGATTGGACCTTGTCACAAAGGGACTTCGGAAAACTACTTTTTTGTCATGAAATCGTTCATCACTCCTGGAGAATGAACTTTACTGCTAAGGATTATCTTGCTTCATTCTGAACCTTCTCAAGAGGATCTGACTGAAAGCCTACTGCAGTTAGGGCTGAGCACTTTTAAAAAGCTTGTCCCCGGCCAGGTGTGGTGGCTCACGCCTGTAATCCCAGCACTTTGGGAGGCCGAAGCAGGTGGATCACCAGGTCAGGAGTTCAAGACCAGCCTGGCGAAGATGGTGAAACCCTGTCTCTACTAAAAATACAAAAAAATAGCTGGGTGTGGTGGTGGGCACCTGTAGTCCCAGCCATTCGGGAGGCTGAGGCAGAGAATTGCTTGAACCTGGGAGGCAGAGGTTGCAGTGAGCTGAGATCGTGCCACTGCACTCCAGCCTGGGTGACAGCGAGATTCTGTCTCAGAAAAAAAGCTTGTCCTCCACTCTAGTAGGGAGAGGCTCTGGATGGGTGGAATATCTTTTCTTTGGCTTGTGAGGCTTCCCACTATTTATTACTAAACTATTGTTAATAAAGAAGATGGACATTTTAGGAATCACCAATGGCTGCTTGCCCTCAAGCAATATAGGCCAGACTTAGTACTAAGCACCTGCCTTAGCAATTGCCTACATTCAATTGTTTTGCATAACCTCTGCCTTCCTTCAAGGCCCCATGCCTTTAATGTTGTCCACTTTAAGCACTGTGGATCAGGACAGGAATGCAGTTAGAGTAGTGCTTTTTACTACTTTGTATCACCAATCTAGGCTACAATCTTCATTTAATCTAAGTAAACTAATTTATGGGTTTATGACATTACAATCCTGCATTCTTTCAAGACTGACATTTAGGCCGGGGGTGGTGGCTCACGCCTGTAGTCCAAGCACTTTGGAGGCCAAGGCGGGTGGATTACCTGAGGTCGAGAGTTCAAGACCAGCCTGACCAACATGGTGAAACCCCGTCATTTAAAAAAAATTAAAAAAAAAAAAAAAAAGACATTTTTCCCTGAGAAGGAAATGATTATCTAAGGTCAAGGGAAAAAAAAAATTTTTTTTTTGACAGTCTTGCTGTGTCACCCAGGCTGGAGTGCGGTTGGTGCAAAGAGCTCAACCTCTGGGCTCAAGTGATCCTCCCACCTCCGCCTTAGAAAATGCAGTTATTACTGGTGTGAGCCACTGTGTCCAGCCAGAAAAGGCATTTTGAGAAAGCAAATTGTATACTTTATAAGAAAACAGAAAAGATACATATTGCATATCCCTTATCCGAAATGCTTGAAACCAGAGTTGCTTTGCATTTTTTGAATATTTGTATATACTTAATGAGATCTTGTGGAGGGGACCCAAGCCTGAACGTGGAATTCACCTGTTTCATATATACCTTATACACATAATTTTGTGCATGCAACAAAGTTTGTGTATACGATATTACTGCAGCTGCAGGGGGCTGAATAAACTGTTTTGTGCCTGGTGCTTTGACTATGGCTTGTCACACAAGGTCATGTGTGGAATTTTCCACTTCTGGCAACATGTCAGTGCTCAGAAATTTTCAGATCTCAGAGCGTTTCAATTAGGGATGCTCAGGCTGCAGCTGTTTCTACTTCTGCATTTCATACGTGCGATGTGACCACCTTGACCAGAAATTGGCTTTTCATAGTGTTTAGATGTTTTATAATTTTTTCCCCCAAATAAATAATGAATTTGCAATTTTATTTTTGAGAGGGTGTCTCTCTGCATCCCAGGCTGGAGTGCAGTGGTGCGATCTCTGCTCACTGCAACCTTCACCTCTGGGGTTCAAGCGATTCTCCTGCCTCAGGCTCCTGAGTAGCTAGGATTACAGGCGCTGTGACCATATCCGGCTATTTTTTTGTCTTTTTAGTAGACAGGGTTTCTCAGTGTTGGTCAGACTGGTCTAGAATTCCTGACCTCAAGTGATCTGCCTGCCTTGGCCTCCCAAAGTGCTGGGATTACAGGCATGAGCCACTGCGCCCAGCCAATTTAGTTTTTTTAAAGACGTATTTTGGACTGGGCTGTGCCTATCTTGAAGCAGTGACTTCTTTTTTATTGGCTCACAGACATATTTATGGGAAGCCGTGAACCGAGATAAGGAAGTCTGAAATACTAGCCAGCAGCCGACTGTTCTATTCCTTTGGAAGATGAAGAGGTAGCAAAAGAGCCCCCAAAAATTAGGAATCAGGTTATAAATTGCACTTAAAATAGTGCCAATGAAAATGTGAAGGAATTTTCTGTAAATGAAACCCCACAGCTCAACAAAAGCAAGTTTGGTTTATTTGAATGGTTTCATTAAATAAGTCTACAAAGGTAACAAACGGAAGCACAAAGCGCAATCTTACAAGAAGCGCAACACCCAGAGTTAGTGCAAAATGTACAGTTAACGGCTGCTGAGAAACCCCCGAAGTTTGAATTTTTATTTTTTTAAACAGTGTACATTGTTAAATAATGTAAGGAAAACACTTATAATTCAGAAAGTTTTTTTTAATGTGGAAAAAGATATTCAAAGTGTACTATTAACACAAAAATAATTTAAACAGTTCAGTAGCACTAGGTCGTTCCTCTAGGCTTCAGTTATTTCATCCGCAGGAAGATGAATTAACAGTAAATAAAACCAGTTCTTTTTGTGTATGAGTGAAAAAAATCTCAAAATTATTAAATTCAAATAACAAATGCTAACGTGCTGCATTAGGCTCCCCTGCTCCTCCGGTATACAGTATTTTCACTCTTAGGTGGTCCCTTTCTCAGTTACTCGGCTCCTTGTTGGTTCTATCCTTACTCTCCACAAGCTATATAAGCAGAGAATAAATAAGTAAATATTTTTAAAGCAGGGATTGAAACCCCCGCCCTTTTCCTTTCTACCTCTTTAAAACCTTCAGCTCTCATTTGCATACTTAGGGCCGGAGACCAACTTACGAAGGGAAGCAGGGCCCATAAGGAATGAACAGGGTACAGAGAGCCTCAGCTTCTTTCTGTGGTGGTGGTGATTCCCGGAATATGCCATTGACGTGGGTAAAAGGTTGGAAATGTCAGTTTCCCAACTACGCGTCAAGAAGCACCCCAAAATTAAGAGTTTTAGCTTCTTTGTCCGTCTTCAGAGATAACAAAGATCCCAAACATAGCCAATTAGGACAGTATTTCCGGAAAGCTCTGAAAACAATAGAACTACCCATTACAAGTAGGCATAGCACTAAATAACACTGATTGGTTGCAGTTATTACTTAAGGGGAATATCTGACAATGTGAGCATATTAGTTGTATTTCTGGAAATAAAGGTGGCACAATAGATTATGATCCTGCAACCATTTGGACATCATAAAGGAAATGAGTAGGAATAAGTATCCTTTCCTACGATGATTATTAATTCAGATGTGGAAAGATTCTCTCTCCACAAAATATAGTACCCCAAGCTGAGGACTGCATGGTACATGTGCAACAAGATTGGAAAGCAATCCAGTTTTTCTTAGAGCAACTTTCTCCATCTGTGACTTTTCATTATCAGGTTCCCCAACTTGATAACTAGCCCCCACCCCCTTTGCTTTATGTTCAATTTCTTCTGTTCTGTTCACGTCTGTTCAAGCCTAGCTCAAATAAAGGTTTATATGACAGTCATTGGCCAGGTATCATGTATCTTCCAAACAAGTTTGTTTCCTCATTCTTTAGTCTTTGTCTTTCACCCAGCACATACCATTCTTGGTCTTTTAAGTTGCCCAATTTTGTTGTAACACCCCCTCCTCACTCTTCCTGAAACAAAACTTTGTTTTTAACCACTAATGCCAACTTAACTTCCCACCTACTCATCTTACACCTGCTCTAGACAAAGTTGTTGAAGGACTTAAAAAAATACTTTTTCTATTTCCCTTTGGCATATCCACTGCTGGGGTCACATGGACCTAAGATTTCCTTCCACATGCCCTTTATTGATCTGGGGTCTGATAAGTTGATGCTAATGGCAGAAGCAATATAAGTAAGTCCAAGGCACTAAAATGTCCAGCAAGCAACACTGGGAAACAGAAGTATTCAAGTACAGTAATTTATACAATTTTACATTCACATTTATTTATCTAATACAATGGAAATACAAAGGAAAAAGTTAAAGTGTCTCAATAAGTAAAGGACAGAGCTAGCTTTTTTTTTGGAACTTTTTAAACGTTTCATATTTTACTCTTAAAACTACTGTTGTCCAACAACATTTTATATATCACAGTGTTTCCACATCAAAACTGATGGCAAAGTTACATGTCCGCAGGGAACTTATTTTTTTTTTCCTAATTGCTAATGCTGCAGTCAAAGCTGCTAGTATCTTTTGCTTAAAGCACTAATGACCTATCATAAGAAAGGGCTGCACCCCAGTCCCCTGGTATTTTTCACTGGGTTCTAAAGAGCAAAGAAAAAATCAAAAAGAGAAGGGGGGAAAAAGGGAGAAGGGCAGGGTAGGAGAGAGCCCAATAGGTTGTTTTTGTCTTGTGGTTCAGATTCTTGAGGGAGTAAAGGATTTGGGGCATGTACCAAAATCAAGAACTCCACCCACTCAAAATTACAGATGGGGTTTGATTTTACATTGAGTTCTCTAGCTTCCTTATGAACAAGACTTTCCTAGCCCTCATCCTCACTACTGAGTACAAATAAACAGGAAAGCATGGTCTGAAGCTGCCCCTTTACAAGAAAGCTGCTCTTTCCTTCCTCTCCTACTCCAGTTAGTAGAGCAGGGGAGACTCTCCATTCTGAGGACTCAACGTGGAATTAAAAACATTCCCTTCTGGCAAGAAATAACCAGTTAAATGCAGCAGTAGTAGTTAGTATATAGGCTACTCCCACCCCCCACCCCTCCCCACCAGCATTCCATCTCCTGCCCCCAGATCTATTCAGTTAATGTCTCTAGGTCTAAGTGGTCCGCAGGTTGGAACCTGGGGGGTTGCTGATGGATTTCTGCAAATTGCTGATGTTGAAATTCTGCAAGGAGGCAGTTCCCACAGGTTGGAACTGGCCAAGTGGCTGTGGTGCTGGGCCACCTGTCCCACTCCACTGAGCGCCAAATGGGGTAGCTGGAAAGCCATACTGCTGTGGGGGGCACATAGATTTGGTGAAGTGACCTAGAGAGGTAGCTGATGCTGCAGAGATGGGGGCAGAGCCACCCAGGTTCGAGGTCATGGAGGTGCACAGTTGCCCAGGTGCAGAGAACTTCCTTGCCATTCCAGGGCCCTGAAAACAAAACAACCGCATGTCAAGTCTGGTGTGGGTTTAAGAGATAAGGGTGTAAAATGTGTGGTGCTAACATATACTTCTGGTCTAATCCTGTAAGATACAGCAAAAGCGTCTTCTATAGTATTCATTGGCTCTTTATATTTACCAAGTAAGGGTGAAAATAATCCTGATGAGAGGGGAGGGATGTCATGTGCATATGTGTGTCTGTGTGTGTAGTTCAGGATGAAGACGAGAAAAGGAAGAAGAAAAAGTTGAGCTGACCAGTAAGATTAGAGATTCAGGGAAGAAAAAATAAAAGGGTACCTGGGGGATTTTTGCCTTGTTTTTCTAAAATGTTAAAATTAATGAGCTACTAAAGAAGGTCCTGGTATAAGACATTAAGCAGCAATCTAGTAGTTTATTTCAACTGGATTCAGATGTGTGTTATGTGATTCTCTATGATAAAAGAGAGACTTACCTCATAATTCATGTGCCCTTTGCTTCCTCTCCTGCCTGACAGATTCATGGCATCTCGGGCCCAATTGTCTACCAACTTGTGCAGGTCATCTGTGAACGTGCCCTTCCTGCTGGACGTCATGGCAGGAGGCTGAGCTTGGGCAGCTTGGCTGTTCACTGTTCCCCCAACAGTGTTTGTGCTGCTGGTCCCTATGACAGGCAACAGAATACAAGCATTAAAGGGAGCCTAGGTTACAATTTCAGGAAAAGGGAAAACTTCACGGGGTGATGAATGGCAAGCCACAGAATGGGGAGAGGATGAACTGGGAAGCCATGCAAGAAGGGTTCCAAGGTTTTGTTTAGCCACTGGTTTTGGTATAATAGGGTGATGAAAACAGTTTCTCTTCAGTAGCTGCTGATAAGGCTGAACAACTCAGGATGATGGTAGGTAACACAAGGCAAGGGCTTCTTTCACAAAGCACCTAAGAGTACTGGAACTGCTTGCCAGTATGCCATTCCCAGCATCATGTTGCTGATGGAAGTGTGATACGATTAGCAAGGCTTGTTGCTCTGAAATTTTGCAGAATGTAGGACAAAAGAGGATTTCTTGTGCCTTGGGCAAAGTTTAAGTAGGAGTAGGAATAGATGCTTGGCTAAGGAGAAGGGGTTTCCAAGCCATGTGGACACTACCACCTTTTTTTTTTTTTTTTTTTTAAGACTTACTCTATTGCCCAGGCTGGAGTGCAATGGCACAATCTCAGCTAACTGCAACCTCCACCTCCTGGGTTCAAGAAATTCTCCTGCCTCAGCCTCCAGAATAGCTGGGATTACAGGCGTGCACCACCAAGCCCAGCTAATTTTTGTATTTTAGTAGAGGCGGGGTTTCACCATGTTGGCTGGGCTGGTCTTGAACTCCTGACCTCGGGTGATCTGCCTGCTTTGGCCTCCCAAAGTGCTGGGATTACAGGCGTGAGCTACCACGCGTGGCTTTTTTTTTTTTTTTTTTTTTTTTTTGAAGAGCCTCTTCTCTGTCACCCAGGCTGGATACAGTGGCACAATCATGGCTCACTTTCAGCCTCAAACTCCTTCTGCCTCAGCCTCCCAAGTAGCTTGGGACTAGAGGTATGCACCACCATACTCAGTTACCCAGTTAAATTTTTAAATATTTTATACAGACATAATCTCCATATGTTGCTCAGAAACCAACTGAACTGCCGGGCTCAGGCAATCCTGCCATCTCAGCCTCACAAAGTGCTGGGATTACAGGCGTGAGCCACCATGCTCAGTCTAGCCATTCTTTAAATAGAGAGAGGTAATAAGAGAAGTAGCATGCTGTGTTCAGAAAACTTTTTCACCCATAAACATGAACGTGCAAACATAAACTTGAGAGGGGTTAACCTCTCCCAATTTCCTATGAGTAAAGGAACAAGATTACTCATGAGGAAAGGACTGTATGGTGTGCCTGAATCTTTCAACTCCAGGAAGACATGGTTTTCCCGAAGATGACCTCAGTTTCAGTTGACTCAAGGATTCCCACCGTTTCTCCCCACCTTCCCAGAACAGCAAGCACTCCCATGTAGAAGCGACAAGAAAATGCAGCTGAGGCAGGGTGCAAAGGGGAGGCGGAAGCTCTGCGGTTACGATGGAGGAATTCTATTTCTATGGTTTGATGAGAAAGGAAGAAGGAGTCTATGTCCTGCCTGATTTCGGCTCTGCTGGAGGGCACACTGAAGATTATTCGAAGAGGCACGTTTTGGGGAAGAGGGAAAGAAGAGTCATGGTCTTGTCTGTTTTCCTCACCCTCCCCCCGACCTGTTTTACCAGATCTCACTGGTAAGTTGTGAATCACTAGTCTTTAAGATATCCAAGTAAAGCTGGGGGTAAATAAGCAGCATCAGACACAGCAGCACACCTAACGCAACCCTGCCACTTAAAAGCCTGTTATTGACCATCACTGGTCTCAAGTCAAGCTTATATCCTACCACCAAGGGAACGGCACACACAAGCATGTCTGTGCTGGAGTACCAGCTAATTCTGAGGTGAAGCTGTAGAGTGAGGAAGGTCACATGCTTCTTACCACCATGGCAAGACATGAACTATTGCAGTGTGAGTGTTAGCTCACTTCTTGGTGCCTGCTGGAGCCACAAGGGGATGGCTATTGCACATACAGTGTAAAAGGAAGAGTAAGTTCCCCTACAGTATAGAAAACCCAAGTGGAAAAATATTAAAGCACAGGAAACAGCCTTCCATGAACAGCAAATGTGAGAGGGTGGTGAAGTGGGAAGCACAGGCAATGAGGATGAGCAGTCATGACAGTGAGGGTCTCAATCTTGAAAGCAAGCATTTCACATGCATGGGGACTGTCATCCTGTTTAAATGATTATTGCTTGGTGAGCTTGATGTGAGAGTCAATCAAAACAAAAACCAGAAATAATCAGAGGGGAGCAGGGCTGTCAAAAGCTAAAAATACAAGCAGCTTAGGAGACATGACCACTGCTTATACACAAAGAGCTCATGCTGGGAGACACACCTCTCTAGTCTGATGCTAGTCTTTTGCCCTGATGCTGCGTGGCCCCTTTAGAACCAAATTTCACTTTTCATTTTAACCTACATTACCTAATACAGGATTCTCTTCCCACGAGGAAAGAGAAACCACGAGGAAGAGTCAACCATACAGTTAAACTTTCGCATTCTGGATTCTGTATACAGGCTTCCCATTAAAGAATGAAACAAACTTATCTTTTTCTGACCAGAAACTAACTCCTAAGAAAAGGAGAGCTAACTATAAAAGCTATAGAGAATATGCTAACTTCTAAACCTTTTTTAGTTCTTCTGGAAAGCCCCAATAAATAGTATAGACTTACCCTCAAGATTCATTTTTAAATTTCCTCCTGCCATTATAATACATTTTCCCTACTCCCGCACCACTAGATCCTAGTAACAATAACCTATTATGAACCGTAACTTACAGC